AGGGCCCGGGCGCGGCCGCGTTCGCATTTCTAGCACAAACACGGCTGTGGTCATGTGCTCGTCTGGAAGGACATGTTCCCCTCTGCATAAAAAGGCCCCCTGCTTTCGTTTTCCCCAGCCGGCTCACGGTCTCATCAGGAATTTGGGTGCTCCTCGGGTCAGACTCCAGTACGTGTAGGCACAGGGTGCTGACATCCCCCTCTATTTCAATAGCCCAGAGTGTGACATAATGCCGCGGTCTTTCCTTGCAGTAAAATTGCTTCTTTGAAGGAGCAGGCACCCAGACACAGCCAGCGGAGTTACACCTTGTGGGATCAAACAGGCCTGACGGGAGTCTGTGATATGTGGGAACGAAGGTGTGCTAGCTGGAGTGGGAGCAGGAATGCTGGGGTCACTGGCAGCCTGAGGTGAGGGGAGAAACTCGGGTGTACGTTTGTGTAGGGCATCATGGCTTGCTCCTGATCTGTTCTGCAAATATGCACAAATGATCCTCATCCTGCAAAGCTGTACAGACAAATCTCACTTCCAGCACTGCATACCCTGCTAACTGACTACAAAAAGTCTCAGAGTAAGAAAGCATCTGAATCTTAGTTGGTCCAGTGCCCATGCACTTTAAGCAACAGTATTTTTCACCTTGCCACCTTTATGTCTTATTTTTTCAAAATTAATGAATTCTTTTTGGGACTTAAATCAGAAATCTGATGTGAAACAGAGCACTGTACCGTGGAATGAAAGTTCTTATCCGTCTGTAGTAGCTTGATACATAGTTCCTGCAGGACCTGATCTGACTGAAGCAGGTTATTGTTACCATTTCAGTATGTTCAGATGCCTTGAGGTTTCTACAGGGCTTCTGCTAAGATTTTCATTAATGAAGATGTACTTCAGTTTGGAGAAGAGCAAGCTCTTATGCTGGGTAGTCACACAGCTCTGTAGTGGTGCCAGTGGTTACAGCCATCCCTCAGGGTTGGCTGCTGTGGCAGGGCTGCCAGGACCTGAGCGTTTGGGTTGCTGTGGTAGGTTGCTGAACTTCAGCATCATTTGGATCAGTGCTTCTTCTCCTGCCAATTTAGGTGACAAAGCACTGTGGTCCTGGCTGTCTGAAAAACAAGAGAAGAGCTTAGTTTGAGGTGTGAGAAGAGGCTCTGATTAAGTGCTATATTTCCCTCAATGTCAGCATGCAACTGCCAACAGTTACAGGAAATCCAGGTCTCGCTGTAGAATGGTTTGTCCTGTCCCAGCTGATTCTTTGGGTGCCACAGCTGGAGAGAGGAGTTAGCTCCAGCTGCAGGTCAGGGCCACTCAGAAAGCTGTGCAGTACAGATTTGGATGTCAAGCATGTTTCCTTACAGCTGTGCCGGGATATCAGGGAAGAAATCGTCTTCTGTGTCCTTGTGGGAGATGTGTGTTTCTGATCTTCTTTTGGGCCTCTGGGGCAATGCAAGATGTTATTCCCAGCTATGTTTTTTACTTCTGTTCACAGCTCAACAAGGGCAAATTGAAAATGCCTTAATTTCTGAACTTTAAAAAAAAAACAGTCAAGCATTTAAGGACTGACTGTCTTTCCTCTTCAGCCTAGTCCTAGAAAATGTGGAGTGAGGGGATACCTGCAAAATTTCAGTTTGCATTAAGTAGAAATGTTTAATTTTTTTTAAAGAAAAGTGTTATTTCACCTTACATATACAAAGTTGCTCCACATCCTATCAGGAGCCAAGCTGCTCTATAGAGGCAGATACAATTAGAAGTGTTAGACTGAGTCACGTTTGTTGTTTCCTGCTTGTCTAGTTCCATTACGTTTCCTAGTTGTATCACCCCTCTTGGATACCCTGTTCCCTGACAATTTCTGTACTCTGTGCTGAATTCAGGAGGTGACAGGCTTTTTTGTGGTGTCTGTGTGCCTGGCAGAACAGGCAGTGTTCTTGTAGATAGGGACAGTATGTAAAATCCAAGTTACACAACTTTAGACACAACTGGAATGTGAGCACAGAAATCATTCAGGGGTTGTTATTTGAGGCTACAGGTGTGTTTGTGACCACAGATCCACATCTAGGGCCAAATCACTGCACTGCTGTGTTCTTTTTGTCCCTGTGGATTTTGCAGGGTCAGGCAGGCAGCATGCAGAGGGGGTGGTCTGGGCTTCAGTCTGATGTGACCCAAGAAAGTGCCCACGTGCTGATGGGTTTGGCTGGCTGCAGCCTGGGCTGTGTGTCACCACCAGCTGCTCCCCTGTGGCCAGTCTGCTTGGCTTTTTGTTCCCTCCCTTGTTAGAGTCCTTTATCCTTCATCCCAGTCCAGCTGCTGAGGTTTTTAATGGTTATTCATCCCCAGGAAGTGACACAGCCCTTCATTACTTGGTGGTGCTCCCCAGCCAGGACGGATGTGTGTCATTTGCTGCAAGGCAAACGAGTGAGTGATAAAGATCTTGGGAGAGCTGTCCAGCAGTCAGTTTCAGGAAAAGAAATCCTTCTGCTGGTCTGTCTTCCTCCACCCCTGGGTGCTCCGAGGCCCTGGCCCCAGTTTGTTCTGGTGCAGGCTGTTGTGCTCTTTGCAGCTTAGTATTTCTTGGGTTTTGATCAGTGTTCCCAAATGACAGTTAAAATTAAAGATATTGTATGCTGTAAGCACTGTTTATTGTGCATTGCTGTGTGCTCATTGCTGGGTGAGCTGTTCTGGAGCTGTGCTGTGTTGGCTCTCCACACGGGGAGGATGCCTGGGGAGCTTCCTTGTTAAAGGGTGAGATCAGCATCTGGGGAAAATCTGTGCTGCGCAGAGCCAGACTCATGTGTCCTTGCTAAGGGTCTGCTTCCCTTCACAGAATGTGGCACTCTTCTTCCTACCTGATTTAATTTCTTTCTTCAGTTCAAGTTTTTGCAGTTTTTTTGGTTTTGTTTTCTGTAGAGTAGAAGAGATCATGGCTTCTTTTAGCTTGACTGTAATTAGGCCCCAGGTTAACTGCAGCTGTTCCTGCTGTTTGCCTCTCCCTGGGTCTAGCAGACAGGATGTGGGAGCTCTTCTTCATTGATAAATGTGGGCAGTTAATTTCATCCTTAAGGATAATGAGACTGGCAAACAGGTGGGTTTGCAAATGCAAATGGTTATGTTTACATTCATCTACCCTCTGTTGACTCAATAGCCAAGCATTCCTGACCAGGTGTCTCTTTCTGCAGTTTTTGTGAGTTTTTCCTGAGTACTGCCAGTTACATTGTGCAGGAATATCAGTCAAAAGATATTTCTGTGAGACATTTTAAGGTTGGGATATTCTAAAAAATTCAAGTAATGCATTTCTCAGTTTGTCTGTTGGGGAAAGAGGCCTCTAGGGAGAGGCTTTAAAAATGTGATCCTAAGACAATTGCCCAGGTGATGTTGAACCAACCTTTGACTGTTATATGGCAACCTTTTGAAATTGTGGTTCCCTGTATATGAAAAGTTTCTTGTTTTCTCTCTTTGTGAAGCACTGTAAGTTTCCTCCAGTCATTGAAATGGTGAATCTAACAAGCTTGTCTCACTTGCTCTGTCTCACTTGATGTACATGGCAGTACATCATCTGGGGTTTAGGAATCACTTGGGAAAAGGCTTGCCTTGTGCTATGGGAACAAAATACAGCCAGGATCCAAGGGAATGTGATAGTTTGCACAGAGACAGTGTCCCAGCTGATGCTCACTCTCTGTAGTTGTGCATTGTGAAATTCCTCCTTATCAGTTGCCTCTCCAGGATGGGTGTGACAGACAAGCAGGAGTGCAGCCTTCAGCTGCTGCTCAGAGAGCTGGTCACTGCAGTGCCTGGGGCTCACAACCACCAGAGGGGAAGTGTCTGGAACCAGGACTCTTGCAGGACTCTTCAGCTCCCTGTGCAAGCACTTTGTGCCAGTGATGTGCAGAACTGCATAGGCAATGCTAAAAGCTGTGTGTGTCACAGTCACCTGTGCATCCTTGCTGTCTCTTATGTCCAGTCAGGTCTGCCCACCTGACAAATACAGCTCAGCTTCTTAACTATTAGGTAGCTCCTAAGTCATCAGCTTCATAGCTTCTTTCAGGGATTCTGTACATCAGAGCCTGATTTTCAAGGACTAGCATTGACCTAAGTGTGCCCTGTTTAGATTCAGGGCAATACTTGCCTGCTGTGAGCTGCAGAGCAGGTCAGAAATCCTTGAAGCAGCAAAACCTGTAGGTTGTGATTGTTTGAAGTACCACTGGAAGGCATTGAGGTCACAGTGTGAGGTTGCTCAGACTGACAGGTGGAAAAGCTCAGTAGGTATTTAGCTGTGCCACCCCAGTGGATTGCATTCAGTGACACTTCATCAGCCTCTTCTTCAGATGTGTTCAGACCAGATTTGTCTGAACAACACATAGGCCATGAACCTATGAGCCCAGGCCTACAGCATAACAGAAATAAAAGTCCCTAGGCTGCTTGAATTTCCTCTGCTACCCAGCTGTTACCCAGCTGAAAGAATCTCTCTCTGTTTTCCTTCTTGGCTTTGGAGTTTCAGCCCACAGTTGTAATGCAGTGTGAGAAAAGCAGAGCGGGTTCCTACAGAAGGTTCCAGTGTTTTGGGAAGAGGATAGGGCAAGCTCCCAGTGCCTGCTCTCTGTTTGCATACAGGTAGCTTGTAGAACTCCTCTTGTGCTCTTGAGATAAAATTCTCAGAAACCCTGATCTTTGCTAGGAATCTGAGCTCAAGAGTCATTAAGAATCAATGAGACTTGAGGGACTTTTAATATTACCTGTCTTTGGCTACCTTTTACTGACTGGGAGCTCCTGTAGTTTACGCATTTCCTTATGAACATCATTGATAGTTCCTTTCTGATTCTCTCTCCAAATACCAGAGAAAAGGGGAAGTCTATTTATCTATTGTGTATCACTTGTTGAGTTAAGCATCTCTATTATGTGGAAGAGAGGCAGGAAGTTCTCTGAGCACCAGAACCAACAAGATTGCTTATCAAGTTGTGTGAAGTCTCCTATTGTTCCTTTCTGCATTTCCCCTCTGCTTCACAGCATTTTCTGTGCTTTTTAAATTTTGCCATGCAATGCTTGGGTATTTTCCATAACCCACGAGGATCCAGAAAATGCATCAGGAAGTGAAATGGTCTCTTCCAGTGTATGTTCCTTGGCATTTGTCATTCGTGACTTTTCTCTGTGTCAGACTGTGCTGTCACTCAAGTTAAGCCCATGTGGCTTCTCCAAGGGAGGTAATCTTTAGTAAATTGAACTTCAGTGTCTCATGTGCTATGACCAGTAATCCTTGCTGTTTACCTCAGCTATGTGAGTGATGGGGCCACTATAAACTTGTGATAGTAAAGACTTCTCGTGTTGTAAGTGCACATTAATTATCTGACTGCTGCATGTTCATGCTGGGCAGATATACAGAAAACTGTTTTTCAGCTGCTGTGTCCAGCAGTTTTTGCTGAGTACAATGCAGCATGTTCCTTCATCCTTTTTTCACTAAGACCAGTTCCCAGGGGCCTGGATGAGCACAAATCCAAGCTTATGGTTGTCCATAGCTTAATCAATCTGTAATAGTTTGGGCTGATGCTTCGTTCTTTCTCTCATATTCACTGCCTTAGACCGAATGCCTTTGGAAAATTTAAGGTGTTTCAAGAAACAATACATAAAGCAATACATTTTATAGTAACTTAAAAGGAGTTTAACTTATCCTATTGTTAGCCTTTTTTTTACCCTTCCCATGAAGGAAGTGATTTTCACTGCTTCCCTCCCAAAGGAGATTGTGATGAAGCTGTTTACTGCCATGTCAGTGTTTCCTTTCATTTGGCACCAAATCCATGCAGACATCTCAATTAAATTTTTGTTGAGTGCTGCTGTCAGAAAGTGCCTAATTGTATTTATGGAGGGTATGTAATTGCAGGATCCCAGTGCTAGTGGGAATTAGTGGCACAACTCTTTTAGTGGTGTAGGGGGGGATGAGCCTGCCACCACTGATGTCACCTTTCACATCTTTATTGAGCAGGGCAAACAGACTGGTTGGGAAGGTATGAAGGCTGCAGTTTATGGACTATGTGGTACAGGGGCCTGTCATCTTCTCATGACCATGTGATTCAGCATCCTCCTGGCTGTGAGGTCAGTTTGCAGCTTGGCATCACCACACTTGGCTGGCTGGCAGCTCCAGTCTCACAGGATCCAGAGGAACATTCTGCTGCTTGAAGCCTCTGGCATTTAAGCATCAACTTGTTAATGTAAGTGTCAGTTTTTATCCCTCGCTTTCCACCTTTCCTAGGGACTTAAAGAACAGACCAACATAGTTCTGCTGTCACTAGAATGCTGCAGTGGCATGTCACAAACCCTTCTGGAGTGATTGCCGCTCCAGTTGCGTGAGGGAGTGCAAGACTGCATCCTCTGCCAATCCCCATGAGGCAGCATCTTTGAATGGACCAGGCTGTAGCCTTCACTGCAGGCCTGTGCTTATGTTGGTGCTAGTTTTGTTCAAGTGAATGCTTCTTGCAGTTTGCAACTTCAAAATACCATTGTTGCTGTAAAATTATGCTACAGAAAGGTGTAGAATAAGTGGACAGGTTGCACCACCTACGTCCCTTAGGCTGTTCCTTGAGCTCCCAAGCTCTGTGGTGGCAGGGAGCAGAACACTGCTCTGGGGCTGCTGGCAGGACTGAGCTTCAAGAGTAAACTCAGTGCTGCATTAAGCTGACAATGCAGATGTGCCCAGGATGACTTAATTACCCACTGCTGTCAACTGCCACAGTTACACATCTTTGCAAAGAATCTGCTCCCAGACTGTTCTGATTTGAAATAACTCCAGGTCTGTATTGTTCAGTCCTCTGGTTGTGGTTTTGTCTCTCTCTTCAGTGTCTTACTCTGTGTTCACATAATTGAAGCTTATCCTACCCTGATTTACTATGAGACTAGCAAAGTGAATCCTTGCAAAGAGTTAAGGAGAGAAAGATCTCAGTGTAAAGGCTTGATGTTCCAGCATTGTGCATGTTATTAGTTATTGCTTTGGAAAGTTACTTAGTTGGAGTGTCTTTGTGGACGTCATAGTCTGAAGTGCAGATCTACTAGGAGGGAGGGTGAGCTGCTGCTTTTGAGCACAGCTGTGTCCTGGCTGGCTACAACTGAAGCAGGGCTGGAAGGAAGCCACTGGGGGATTGTGGAGGAGATTGGCTCGTGCTATAGAATTCTGTGCCCCTCCTTTTGGCCACCTTCCTCTCTTCCTCTGGCTTGCTATGGTCAGCTTTCCTATCAGAAATTAGGCTAAAAGACTGTTCTGGATTTAAAAAAAACAAAACACCTTAAATAGAAGTATTATCTGGTTTTGATACTGTTTAATAGATGTTTTTTCCTGCTAAGCATAAATCTTCATGAGTCCTGATAGCACTTCAGCAGCATTTACAAGCTAATGAGCTGCTAATTATCGGCCCAGCCCAGCTAATTAGTTTTGTTGAGTGTAATAATCTAGATAGAGCTCTGAGCTAATGCAGCTTTGCTCCTTCTGGGACTTGAGTTGATGTGTTCAAAACTCTGACTTTCAGCTGTTCTGCATGTCCAGCTCTGGGAACTGTGATTTGTCTTAGGAGACTTGAGGGCGTTCTCCTGCCAGGACAAATGCCCAGTCTCCAGGTCCCAGGAACTCACAGACATTTGCCGGGTTACCCCAATTTAAACATACCTACTGTGCTTTTCCCTTCAGCATGGCAGCACGGTGGATGGAGCTTCAAGACAGCAGCAGACTTGATTTATTTGGCAAATGTCAGAGTTCTGTTCATGCAGACAGATAGGCAAGGTAGCTGCTGTAAAACTCATGTTGGTCTCCATAAAATTGCAAGTTCAAGCAATCTTGGACAAAAAAGCAAACTATTTGGGACTGGTTGGCCTATGTTATGACCCTGTAGTTTATTAACTTTTTATTAGAAAAAAGAAAAGGAGGGAAAGGCCTATGGGAAACTCTATGAAGCATTCCTTAGGTGGCAACCTCTCAATGCAGCTTTTTAAAGCTTGGTTAACAAATGGTATTGCTTTGGTTTCCATCATCTGGTGTCCCATCCTCCTCTCTGCAGCTTTCAGTTCAAAAAGTGATTGTACACAGAGTTCATACAGAGTGAACAACTGAAACACAAAGGGTTTCTTCATACACAGTGATTTTGGTGCCAATTGAAGGAGAAAGTTAAATGAAGGAGATTATTACTGAAAGGAGTGATGTGATTACACATATTTACCTGGGAATGGACTCTTCCTGATGTGATGTTTGGCTTTTCTTTACAGGTATTCTTCATCCCCATGAGCTCTTTTCATACAGGGACCATAGCCTACTTGGTCAGTGGGCGTTAGATCTTCCCTCTGAAGACAAATTGAGTTGGTTACTTCCTACCACTATGGGTTGGAGTTGGTGACTGTGTTTGCCCACCACATCCAAGTTAATGGTGTGCCAAGGATAGATGTGCAGCAGGTCTTTGGGTCCATATTGATGTGGTATCTTCTTAACTCATCGCGCCGCCTTGAGCCCACAGCAGCACAGGACATGGAGGCTCTTGAAGTGGATGACATTAGCCCTGCCTTGGAAGTGACTGAAGACTTTTTCAATAGTTTTGATACTAAGCTTGAAAAGGTTGTGCAGCCCTCTGAGGTGTATGGTGTACAGGAGGTCCCAGAACTGGTTGGGCATGAGGTATTTGATCAGATAACAGAGAGCAGGAACCTGAGGAACGTCGCCTCCTTAGCCAAAAGCAGCCTCATCTGGGATCACTGCAAAAATGGCCTCTTGGAAACCAAAGCTCAGACAGTGTTCCCTGCCAAAGACCAGTGCCTGGTGCAGAGGGGAACAGCTGCTGACAACCTTGCTTGGGCAGGGGAAGGGGACACCACAGCTTTTAATATCTTCAAGATCTGCCAGCGGCGGAGGGACAGGCCTCGCTCAGTGAATGACATCCTGGTGCAGAATGAGGAAGCCTCCATGTTCAAACCAGGTCACAACAGGTCACGCTCTGACATCAGCCATGTGAACTGGAGAGTGGTCTTCACAGGCACCTCCCTGCAGCAGCCACCTGCACCTGGGCAGGACAATAACTGTGCTCTGCTTTCCTACCTGGCACTAACCAATGGAGGGGATATCCAAGGAAACACAGGTTTGTGCTGCTGCTTTGTTTGTGTTTATATGAGGAGTTTCCTATCTGATTTTAATATGTCTTGGAAGAGGAGCTGAATGTTAAAAAACACAAAAAACCTACTCAAAATCCAACTGTGAGGTAACTCTTAAAAGAAGATAAATCAGTATGGCTCTTTTGTCTTTGATGTAACTCTGTGTGTTTGCCTGCCTAAGGATAATTTTTTAAACTTACCTTGATTCCTGTTCTTTTTTTGTGGTTTAAAAATCTAAAGTTGTTTTACCTTTTCCTTCTGTCTCAGGACAAAATGATTTATTTGCAATGTATTTCTGATCATTTCCTTGAATGATTTCCCAAACTTAAAGAAAGCTTTGAATATTAAAGCTATTGGGAGAATGGCAAATCCAAACAAAAGCAGTTCTCATAAAGTGAAAGAGCAGCCATTAAAAAGAGGGCAGACGTACAGAGCTTTACTGTAAGGCCCAAAGATCTCTGCTCTCTTTCTTTAAATAATGCTGAATTTTCAGTCCATAAGCAAGTAACAGAAGCTAAAGCAGTCAATTTGTCAATATGAAGGCATTCCTGCCAGCATGGTGTGGGGCACAGGAGGTGTTGTTATCAGATTGAGGCAGGCATCTCCAGTGAGCCATACGAAGCAGTCTTTCAGCAAGTGGTATTCTTCCTTTTCCCAAGCACTGCACTGAAGAGGTGCTCAGGGCTTTGGAAACACTGACCCAGTGTCTCCATCTCCATGATTTGTTTTGTAGATGCCAGCAGTGGGCCAGGCACTTACAGAGAGAAACAGCAGCTAGTGCCACAAAGATTTTTGTAACCTAAATAAAGGTAGGGCTTAACTAAAAATCAAGGGATTGTGAAAGGGTGCTTGTATGCACATGGTGGCTTGACTCCAGTTAGGAATAGGTGGTCTGTTTAGGGTTAAAAGAAACTTTTTGTGTTGGGTTTTCCAGGTAAGTCAGCTATATTGGAACATGGAAAGCAGGTGCCTGAGTGTTAGTGTGGGGGAGATGTGTGTGTATAAATATATATAACGTGTAAGTATGTTTAAGTGTATATATAAGTGTATATATAGGTAAAACCACTTAGGTTATTGTGTTATATTGTGACATAGTTGCTGTAGAAAAAGAAGGGTGACAAAGGCAAGTGCACCTGCTGTTATTTTTGTCTAGGGAGATATATTGCTTCTTGTAGAGTGGAGTTTCTGTTCTGTATCTTTCTGTGGAAAGGATGCAGAACAGAAATGCACTCTCAAGTGTGGAGACAGAGCTCCTCGTTTTTGTCAGCTGTATCCTGGGCATCTCCTGGGTTTGATGTGTAACAACCTCATATGCTCACAGAAACTCCCTTTAAATGGAGCCATTGAAGGTCTGTACATGTCCCTGATAGTGTTTTAAGCTTCATCTGTGGTTCTGTGATATGAAATTCCCATGGACACACTTCTGGAGGTAGTCAGTGCTTGCTGTGTGCCCTCCAAGAGCTTTCTCTATGGAATGTTGGAAGGCAGGGGTACCTTCTTAGAGGAAGGAGAGCTTCTGTGCTCTGAAAATATTTCTTTTTAACCTGTTTCCTTTACCTGTTCTGTTCAGCAGCTGTGCAGGTTTTACAAGGTAGCTGTGCTATTTCTTCCCTCTGTGTTTACAAGAGAGCCTCACAAAGAGTTTGCTGCTACTGTGAGCTGACCTGAAAAGAAGTGCAAAAGCAAGAAAGTAGGTTTTACAGACGTGTGTCTGTGGCTACTAATTATTCTCCAGAAAAGACTGAAGAATGTATTTAGAGATTGGATAAAACCTGCTGCAGTTGTTGAAGGGGTCATAGTGGTTGCATCCTTAGAAGACATCTCTTTTTAGAGTTTTAATCCAAGTAAATGAATGCAGTGAGATACTGAGAGGACCTTCAGCAACTCCTGTCAGTCCTCAGTGCTGACAGGACTTCCCTCTGGAGCCTGCAGAGGTCTCCCAGTCCTCCAGAGCTGTCCCAGTTACTGCATATGTGAACTCTTCAGTGTTTTATTTCCTTACTGTCGTAGTGTACCCATTACTGTGGGCTTCTCTCTTCCTACTGCTGCTCTTTTATAGAATCATAGAATCATTTAGGTTAGAAAAAAACCTTTAAGATTATCTCCTCCAGCTGTTAACCCAGCACTGCTGATTTTACCACTAAACCATAATACAAATAAAATAACACTGAATCCTGTCCATGTGCTGAGAAAGAAAAGGACCTGAAAAGAAGCTGTGCCTTTTGGGGCAATATCTTTGGCCTGCTTGTGAAAGAACTCATGTGCTAGAAATAAACCCTGTTGTGCTATGGGACACAAGCAGGAAGCAGAGCTAGCAAAGACAGAAGTTGTTAGCAAATTCAAGGCAGGCTCTTGTATTTCTGGGCATGTGGCCTGGCAGACAAAGAGAGAATACTACTTCTGTAATATACAGTGAAGCTTGGCTTGGATTTTTAAAACACAGTGTTTTAAACACTGCATGGCTTGATGGCCATGTGGGTGTTATTCAAACACTGCCACTCCTGACAGTGTGGGTGCTACAATACTTTTTCCAGCTAGCTGTTTTGTTTGCCTGCTTTGCCTGTGAGCTTGGAGAACTCTAGAGCTGTCACTGTGTTGAACACTCACGCACTGACAAACTGAAGGATATGTATCTGCAGACCCAGGTGGGAAAACAGGTGGGAGGAAAAGACTGTATTTTTAAGTAGGAAGATAGTGAACATTGTGGATCTGAGGCACAGTTTGTCCCTGATCCAGCAAATCCCACCAAGAAGGTGACTAGCCCAACCCAATTTGAGAGCATTTTAGGTCCCAAACATGTTTTGTAAAAATGTTCAGTTTTTAAAAATCTGAGACGAAAACTACTGGCAAAAACTCTGTAACTTACTAAGCATTAGAGAATTCAGAGAGGAGTGCCCCCTCAAGAGTACCCCCTCAAACTCCTCACAAACTAGGCATCTCTGCTTCTGCTCTTTTCCAAGTTACTTGGAATGACTGTTGTCAGAAATGCTTCAGTGGTGGAAAAACAGAGTAAGCTTTCCTGCCGTGCCAACTGAGATGCAAGTACAGCCAGTCGTTCTGGAGTGCGTATCTTCTGGACGTGCTGGTACAACATTTGGTCTCTCTCTCTGGGGTGCTGGTTGCACCAGCTGCCCCAAGTGTGGCCAGTGGTGGGTGGGCGCTAGGCTGGCCTGGTTTCAGTGCAATGTACAGGAGTTCCTACCTGGGACAAGGGGGCATTTCCCAATGGAGAGAAGAGATGCTGAGGAAGATATTACTCTGTCCCAGCTGCTGAGACTCTTTTTGTTTTTCTCTGCCTTCTTCCACCTCTTTCCTTGAAATTATAACTCCAAATGGCTCAGATGTGAGCCATTTACTGTGATTATTTCCTTTTTTTTTACTCTTCTTCAATTTACTCTGCCTGTCTCCATAAGGAGGAAAAGAGATGCAGTTTCTGTTTGGAAGGTGGATAGAGAGATGGTACCATTTGCTCTCTGAGTAACAAGGTATTATCTGGCACAGTGCATGTGGAAGAGATAAAGGAGCAGAGCTGTGAGATGTGTGTGTATGTTCAGCATACGAATTCAACCTGTCTCTGCCAGCATCTATTGCCCTGACCTAAACAATACGAGGCATTTGAATGTTAATCAAGGTGGCTGCTGGTTCTGTCCCAGTTCGAGCAGAGCCACTGGAGCTGATTTCACAGAGCTTGGAGGGAAGGAGGGGAGAGGGGGGTGCCTCTGTGAAAGACAGGGAGAAATAACCTTTCTCTAACTCAACAAAAGATAAGCAAACCTGTGTGTGGATGAAGGAGGGGTGGCTGGGGGAAGGTTATGAGTTGTCTTATTATGGAGAAGCTTGAACAGTCATCTGTACTTGATGGAAGCGAGAGAGATTGCAGTTGGAGCTGCAGAAGCGCTGCCTCCCTGATTGGATTAATAGAAAGGGAAGATGACTCTAGAATGGCTGTCCATTATCTGCACTACAAAGGGATTAGTGTGGGTTTCAGAGAAATTAATGGCTTTTGAGTTAGTGCAGAAATACTAATGAATGTCAGGGCCAGAGATGTACGATGAACAAAATTGGTTCTCTTTCAGTGTGTCCATGTGTGTGCACATCTATCCATTGGGGCTATCAAAGTGTGCTTTTTCTCTACCATTTTGGGTTATAGATTAGGCTTTCAGTTTTCATATTTAGCTGAAATATCCTCGAGTAGTTTATTGATATGCAAGGTATAGTTATACTGACCTTTTTAGACCTAGTGCCAAAATAGCAGTTTTTGAAATAGTTGTTATGGTTTTTGCCATATCTGCAGGAAATCTCTCTAGATGGACTCCTTTGAGCATGGAGTTAAATGCAGGCTCTGTTCTGAGTATTTGGGTAAATGGGGAAGCTGAGGCTGGGCTGTCAAGGTGAAACCTAAGTGCCTCCTTTTTATTAGGGTGGCTGCAAGGTAGAGTCCTTCCCCCATTTTTAACCCCCATGAGATTTCCATACCAACATTAAGGATATCAAACAATTAATTTTCATGTATGTTCATTAAGTTTAACTGGAGCTTGTCTGCTTAATCCTTATAAATCCTTAAAAGCTGGTCTTTGCTGAAGAGCTGGCAAAAGCTTTTACACTGCTGCTATTCTGATTCTTTCTCCTGCCCATAGAAGAAACTGAGAATTAGCTACAGGAGTACTTGCAGCCAGAGGCAGGAGCATCTTCTTAGAATGAAGGGTACAGCCCAAGGTTGCCCCAGTTGGTATCAGAAGCCCCTGGACAGTAAGATCCTCAAATACTCATGAGTCCCTGACTCTCCTTATGCTCTAGGAGGACAGACAGACTCACCCCTTATCCAGCAGTGGTTAGAGCAGTCTGGCCAGCAGTCTTGGCCATATTAGCTGGGAAGCCCAGTACAGATGGGGATGTAGTTTCTATACAGGCCTGGTTTTGTTTTGAAGCTTCATCCAGTCCAGATGTTTCTGTTCTCTTAGCTCTGTGTTGCAGGCATCCTCAGTATACTCAGAGATGATGTCTAAAGCTTGTTAGAGTGTGGACTGTTAACATAAGTGTAACTGGTTAAGCTGAGATACTGAAATGTTTTATGCCTCCAGCTATCCCTGTTTCAAAGGCTGTAAAGGCTGTCAACCCCAGGGTGGAAATGTTGAGTAGACCAGCTCTTGTATTGCTGTGGTCTGTAATGCTGTGTTAAAGTCAATTGATGCTGAATTTGTTGTGACCCAATTTGCTGGGCAGTGGATGAGGAGCTGTTTCCAGGTGGCTACCTTGCTCCTGTGCCAGGAATAGCAGGCTCTAAGGGAGACAGACAATTCGAGGCAGAAACCTTTACTTGTGTCTGCTAATTCTGTCACTGTTAGTCAGTCATCACTCAGCACAGGTACCCTTAATGGAAGGGTGAAGTAGAACTCAAATGGGAGTTTATTCCTCAGGCCTGCATTGTTTTGGGGTGCCAAGTGTTACAGTTGGTATTACAGTGTAGCAGTGAATGCCTCTGAATTTATACAGGTAACAACAAAAATTGCCTAGAGCCACGAGCCTAGCCCAAGGTGAAAATATGAATCTTGCCTGTGGTGGCTGAAGTGGTGCAAATCAGATTGGAACAAATTTTATATGGAAACCTTTTTTTAAAACTCAGAAATGCTTTAGCATTTGCATCGCTTTAGTGCTTGGAGTGACTTGTGCATGGCTGGTGTTCTGTGGATGAAGAAGATTCCCCTTGACTTTGCCTTGGGCTGGGGTTTGTGATCTGTTCCAAAGCACCTGAAGTGCTGAGGTGCTCAGATGTGTGTGTTTGAATCCTTCTGGGCAGCCTCTTACTTTTCATTTTTGGTCATACCTGCTACTCTTGAACCTGATTCAAATAAATCAGCAAAACTTTGGAGTAAACAGAGCTGCACAGAATGTTCTGGTCCCAGGCCATGCTGGAATGTGGTAGGAAAGTGCTGTGTTGGGCACAGGTCTGCATTCACTGGGTCAGTGCAGGTGCCAGGTGCTGTAAGCAGGGCTGTTCCAGCAGCCCCTCCTCAGGACACAGCTGTGCCCATCAGCCAAGGCGGGGCCTCTTTGGCACAACACATCCCAGGAAGGGACGGCACTGGCAGCTGTGTCCAGAGCAGCTGAGGGTCAGAGGATGAGAATGTGCTCCAGCCCCTGGGGAGAATGTGGTGGAGCAGGATGTCCCTGCATGCTGGAGAATGTGGAGATTTCCTGAAGGAACTGCAGCCACTGAGAGCTCATGCAGGGGTACATTTAACCTGAAGGACTGCAGCCCCTGGAGAGGACCATGCTGGAGCAGGGAAAGGTGTGAGAAGGAAGGAGCAGCAGAGAGGAACTGAGCAGATGCCACTATGCCCTTTGCCTCTGAGCTGCTTAAGGTGAGGGAGGCAGAGCTGGTGTGTATGAAAACATGAAGTTGAGTCTGGGAAGGAGCAGGAAAGAGAGGGTAAGGTGTTTTTAATTTTTATGTGTTTTTCACTGTCAAAATCTTATTTTAGCTGGCAATAGATTACTTGATAGTATTGTCCACTTCTAGACTAAGTTCTGGGAGACCTGCAGTGTTTTGTTGCTCTGCCATTGTCGTCCTGGATAATTGCTTTCTCAGGAAAATTGCTCTGTTTTTCTGTCCCTCTGTTTCTTTGTTCCTTTTTGTAAGGTGTTTTGATACCTCTGGGTAAAAAAGTGCTGTATTCTTGGTGGCTCAAAAGTAGAGTTAATGTTTGTGTTTAATAATTATTACATGAAGATTCTCTCTGTGATCCTATCTTCAGATATGCCATGTATGGGTAGGAGAGATGAAGAAGCCAGAATGATGTAGTAATTTGAGACAATTAAAAAAATAATCGTAATATTTTAATTTTTTTTCCTCCAGAACACAAGACAGTGTTCTCAAATCTTCTGAAGAAGGGATACTTGGAAGTCAGAAGAGACAATGACAGCTACTGGCAAACCTGTTACGCTGAACTCTCTCAGTACAAGCTGTACCTGTATTGCCTGGACAGCAGCGGCAACCAGACCCTTCCCACCGTGTATCCGCTCATGCGTTTTCAAAGGGTTGCTGTCACTGGTGGCATGGAAACCAAGGTGGTGGACACTGTCCTGTCAGACAGCTCACAGCTACAGCTCAAGGCAGAGTCCTCCTGGGAGACTTTGGACTGGGGACAGAAACTTTGGGAAGCGGTGCATGCTTCTGGGCCTGCTTTTACAAGACAGCAGGAGAAACTGGAGAATGTGCCAAAGCCTGAAAATAACAGTGACCTTTCTCAAACTAATGGAGTGTTAGAGAAGCCTATGGAACTCTTCCTATCCATGAATTTGACTGAAAACACTAAAGAGTACCAAAATATTCTGAAATCAGGGACTCTTTACAGACTAACTATCCAGAATAACTGGAAGGCATTTACTTTTGTCTTGAACAGGTCTTATCTCATGGCATTCCAGCCTGGTAGGCTTGATGAAGATCCCCTGCTGAGCTACAACGTGGATGTGTGCCTGTCGGTGCAGACAGATACTCAGGATGGCTGTGACTCTTGCTTTCAGGTCATTTTTCCCCAGGATGTGCTGCGCCTGCGCGCAGAGACGCGGCAGCGGGCCCAGGAGTGGATGGAGGCGCTGAAAGCAGCGGCCAATGCTACCCGAAGTTTGACTCAGAACCCACAGGTCACGCTCAGGAACAAGCCTGGAGATCGGCCCTTTGGGAGTGACCTTAGGAAGAGCAAGCGGCAGTCTGTGACCACCAGCTTCCTGAGCATCCTGACCACACTGTCTCTGGAGAGAGGGCTCACGGTTCAGAGCTTCAAGTGTGCAGGTGAGCAGCCAGGTTGCAGCATCTGCACCTACATCCCCTCTACAGGAAAAGAAAATCACTTGAAAGAGCATGTGTGTTTTAGCAGCACAGCTGTTCCCTGCCTCTCACTGTGGCTGTAGTTAGCCTTTCTCTCTGTCAGCTGTGGAGAAAAGCCTATGGGGATATTCAGAGGTTCACCTGCTTTTGATGAGCAGTCCTGAAACATTAGATCTTGCACATACACCACTATATGGGCCAGGGCTGCCTTGCAGGGTGGCTGAGCTGTTTTCTTGATTCAAGACACTGTAAAGGTGGTGCAGAATCAAAGGGGCTTGAATTTGTTGTCTGACTCTAGTCCTATAGGGAAGATGATGTTTTTGTCCAGTTTGGGAAGGAAGTGAAAATAGACAAACCATGTCTGAATGCAGTACATTGTCATTTTACTTTAGCAAGGGCACCTATTTAGAGCAAATTTGGGCACCTTATGCCTAAACTATGGTCTCTGACTTGCTTTAGTTACACTCACTTAGAAATTGTCAGCTCAAGCAGAAGCAGCTCTTTTGGAGACTTGTTCTCCTGTATTGTGTGAGCTGTGATGGTCCTGCCTCCTCTCCATGCTCCTTTGGGGTGTGGTTCTTAGGTTGCTCTGGAACATGATGACTCTAGAGAGTTTCTGTTTGGGCCCAGGACCTGCTGGCTGCCCTGAATCCCTTTCAGGGGAGACCTGGGCCCTAGAAGTACTGGATTGCACTCAAAATTGTCTGTGGGTGTAGTTGGGTTTGTCCTTCTCTGGAAGCCACCTGCAGGTCATGTTCCTGCTCATCCTTCCACAGTGCATGGCACCCACCTGGCAGCTGGAGCATCACGGAGGTTGGCATCATTGCAGTTAATGATTTGGTCACAGTATTTGGGCTTCTGCCTGAATTCGGCTCTGTTCTTGGCCACGTTTGTATGACTTGATGTAATTTGTTTTATATTTTGCTTAATCTTCTGACTGAGGTTCAGGAGAGTTTCAAGTGAATATTTTCAATTACCTCCTCTAAAACCCGGCCCTGAGATGGCAACAAAATGCATGTCTCCAGTGTGAAACAGGTTTTAGCCTTGCTTTATGTAGTATGGGAGCAGACTTTTCTCTGGGAAAGGGTGGATTCCCTCTCCCAAACATGGGGTGATTAATATCCACTCACTCATGTATTCCCCACAAAAATGAGGTGCTCTGACCAGGGTTTCATGGTGTCTTTTCCTGATCCCCCTGAGGCATTCCCAATACTCCTGTGGTCTCCTTTTAGTCTGCCAAACTGAACGAATGTTGTTGTGCACAGAAACTCTTCTTGAGTTGTGGTGGGTCCGTGGGAAGCTGGTCACTGGGACTCTGTGTCCCCGAGGATGGGGATTCACAGCACTTTATGCAGGAGCGACTCCTTCGCCATTCCTGAGACCCTTAGGGCTGGCTGGAGCTTGGAGCTGTTACCATGGTGCAGAGAAAGAAATAATTTTAGTTATAACTGGGAGAAACTGGGGAAACTTGTTTGGCTCAGAGAAGTTTTTGCAGAGGAGGCACAGGGCAAGCTGAGCGTGTCTCGCTGTTCTTGCTCCCTGCGGGCAGTTGTGCCGTTCAGCATGGGCTGCTGTTTAACCTGAGGGGCCTGCTGTTGCTAATTACGGCTTGCAGGCATTGAGAGCGGCTTTCCCCAGGGCTGCTGGGAGGGGTAAGCTTGCAGAAAGATGAGGAGGGGGGAGGAAGAAAAGTTTTGCTCTGAATTCTTCAGCCATTTAGTGCAAATTCCTGTAATTACCGTCTTTGTGTCCTGTCCCAATGGCACATAATACAGCAGAAGCCTTTCCTAATTGAGACCTTACAGGAGGTACAAATCCCTCCTTTGTTCAGCCTGACAAATTAGTGCCAGAAAGTGGCAAGGTCCGAGTGGGAATCAAAGGCAAGCAACACAAAGATGGAACTTACGGCTACAGTAATAACCCTCTCTAGTCCTGCAGGGGTGGGAGGGAAGGAAAAGTAATGACCAATGAAAAATGAAGGGTTTTTTTGTTATAAATTCCCTTGACATGACAGCACCTCAGGGCTGCTTTATTTATTTAGGAAAAGCGATTAAATAGTAATACAACAGGGCAGACCATTGTCTCTCGAGCTACCCCCCTTCCTACAGACCCCTGCTGCCCTGGCTAATTGATTGACAATGAACCTCTGATAAAGAAGGTTGCTGGGAGGACCTGATGGGGACAGGCTTTTAAAATTTATTTTCTCTTTGCAGTCTTTGTGGGGTTTCCCTCTCTGGTTTAGGTTTGGTTTTTTTTCCTGTTTGAAATGCTCTCGGCATCCCCCTTTTCTTTTCTCCCTCAGTAAAAGCTTTTTAAGGAATTGGTCCCAGACAAACAGCTGATATTCACAACCAGGTAGGGAGGAATGTGAATGTCTGTGCCTTGCTATTGACAGGTTTATCTTGGAGTCTGGCTAGCACTTTTCAACTCGTGATATAAGCCAGGGCAGTGGTGTCAGATGTAGTCATGGGGCAGAGAGGACAAAGTGTTGATACCCTGGAGTCAGAAGGGCAGTTGGAAAAAAGTTGTCTTTTGCTTGATCAGCAGACACAAAAGCTTTTCTCCACATTTTTAACTTTGTTTGACTGCAGAGGGCAGGGCATTACTTGTAATTTGAAAAAAAATGAATGAACAGACCACTGATTAGCAGTGGAGAGGCAGGGAGTTTATAAACTTTTAATTTTGTGACCATTATTTATATTTTTGACTTAGAGAAAAGCTTCTAGGGAAAGGTAGGCATTTCTCCTGGAGAAGTTCTCCTGGAGGTCTGTAAGGAGCAAATATCCCCAGGTGCCCTTCACTATCGTCGTTTCTTTGTCACCTTTCTATAGATGGGGAAGACAAATGGCCTTTGCCCTTGCCTCCTGTTTTTGCATAGCTCCTGTTCTTTTGATGGCTCTCTTCTGTTTCACCTTTTGTTTTCTTTCCCCCTGTCCTTTATTAAAACAGACCTTTTTTTCCACGGAAGTCAATTCTGTCTGCCAGGAGCTCTGTTACTTAGACAGCAAGTCCTAATGGATGTGGGAATTTCTGCCTTTTGGAAAATGTGCTCTGCACGCTTTCATTTGTCTGTGTGGCTTTCCTTGCTCCTCTTCTAGGGTGCCTTCTGTCTTTTCCTCCCTGCTTCTCCATGTCTCCTCACTTGCCAAAACCATAAATACTGCTATTAGAGCTTGAATGACTTGGCTGGCTGAGCTCAACACTAGGTGCAGAGAAGCCAGGGTTAGTAAATGTGCTATTTCCTGAGCTTGCAGCCCTGTCAAATGAAGCAGCAGGTGGAGAGCTGTTGTCTTTCAGGGAATCATTCTGCTCCGAGTGCTGTGATCCTGTGTGTAGCTGGGGGACAGCTCAGTGCAGCATGCACGGGTCATGGAACCTCTGCTCTGTCCCTGTTGCAGTAAAAATAAAATTCCTTTTTTCCCCCCTTAGTGAAAAGAAAGTATTTCCTAAGAGATTGTAAGCCAGCAAGTGTAATTTAAAAACAAAACAAAACAGTCATGTGCAATGTCAACTTTGTTCAACTTCTCAAAAAGGCTTACAGTATTCTCAAATACAGATAGTTGAGAAGCATCCTTGAATTTAGCAGATACTTAGTGAGCCGTAATTACACCCAACACTTATTTTGTAGCATGTCACTGAAATAAAAATGCTAGAGGATAAACCTAGAAAATGCAGCACAAAAATAAAATACCATAAGGTCTTTTGGAAGGTTTTTAGCACTCCTGTCACATTTTAGTTCTGAATAACCATTGTTCTCACCTGTCCAGGGTTTTTAGGCTTTTAGGATTGTGCTTTTTCTGAGTGCTGTATTTGTTTTGTGCTTGGTTTCATTTCAATTGATCTCTTTCTTCCAAGGCTTCAGCAGCTTTTTACCTTCCCTGTATTTGAGACTCTGTAAAATCCCCTAGGAATGTTTTGCACTGTAAAGGTTTTATTGTTTAGGTATCTTCACTTTAGGCTTTAGTCTTCTAGTCTGGTATGTGTCTTTCAGGCCCTATTTCTATTCATTTAAAAGTAAAACTTCCACTGCTAGCAGTGGGATTTCCAAACCAGCTGAGCAGAAAAATACATGGTCTAAGTTAGTATTTGGAAAATGCACCATGTTTAAACAAGGTCACTGACTTGTAGGGGGAGGAGTGGGGGGAGTGTTTCCAAACAAGGGTGACTGGAATGTGTGTAGCAGGGAGCACTTTATTTGCAGTGGACAACATGTTTCAAAACACGAGTTTTCTGGGCCACAGTGCTTTGCCATATGACAGCTCATTTTGGACAAATATTGGAAGATATCACATACAGGTTGCTTAAACCTGTTTATCAGTGATCAGTTATGATCACAGAGGCCATTTAATCCTCATTGATGAGTTCCTCAGTGCCGTTCTAGGATGGCATGACTAGAGGAAGTGACAGTGAAAACTGTCAGCTTTGTCTGGTACAAGTTGGGTCCTTCACCCTCCTGGGATTTGGCTGGTACCTCCACAGAGTGAGATTTTCTCCTTCGTGGGGTTTGGTTTGGAGTTGGCCTGCTGCTGCCTGGAGTGCAGCTTAGATAAGTACTTGATCAGTTCAGTGCCTGTTCTGTGCCCTGATGTGCACTTTGCAATCAACTGGGGTTTAACTGGCTTCTTTGTCTCAGCCCTGCAAGAGGAACTGCTGATACAGCTGTCCTGGATGAATCTGCATATTCCCCCCGGCAGCCTTGAAGGGTGCCTTTTCTGCCTCTGTGGGGATAGGTGGCCCCATTGCTCTAATCTGTCCCTGTCAAACACTCTGCAGGTTTTCAGTATGTGCTAATTTATTGTACTATTGTGAGCTCACTTCTGCTGGGTATGAACGTGTCTACTGTAAGCATAGGCTCTTCTTGGCTGTGCCTTGTTTCTTCCTGGCTTGTGGGTGCCAGGTATGAGTTCTGCTACCCCCAAAGAACTCTTGGTTGTCTGGGGACCTTTTTGGTCCATTTGTTGAAT